GATCTGGTCGCGCAGCGCCATCCACGCCTTCTCGAGGTGTGACGGCGAACCGCGGAGCTCCCACACCCAGGCTGGATACAGCTGCAGGATGCTCCAAGTGGCGTGGTATATCGGGTCGTATGTGCGCTGCTTCTGCACAGCGAGGTATAGGGTGATCGAGCCTGAGCCTGCGAATCCACAGAAACTACCAGCAGCGCTCCTCGTCTGCTTCAGCTCGCCGTCATTGATACCACTGACGGCAGCGCCGTGACCGACAAAGGGAAGCGCTCGTGCGGTCCAAATCCTGGACGCCTTGGCACGGCCAGCTCCCCGCTAAAGAGCACGGATTCTGGCCTTCCTGCCGCGCATCTTCTTCACGCGGTCCCTCTGCGCCCCGCGCGCGGCCACTGCAGCACCAAGGTCATGGCCAAGATACCGCGCGCGACGCCGGCCTGCGATCTGGAGCATCCTGGCGAGCGACTTGACATGATAAACCGTCTGACGCGTCGCGGCTAAGTGGCCGGACTTGTCAAGTGCAGAATGAGGCCAAGAGCGCGCGCTGACTCTCAAAATATTCGGCATGCCGCAGCCACCAAGCGCGATCGCGGGGATCGAGGCCCGCCCAGCTCAAGGCCACGTCATCGACCCGGTCTCTCGGCCGTACCTCCTTCGCAACAGCAGTGGTTAATTGGATGCTGCGCGCGAGGGGGACCATCCACATCGCGGTGGCACGCGTGCATTCTGCCAAGATACCTCGGCACACCTGCTGGGCTCGAGAGAAATAATTTCACTCGAAGGTAGAGCGCACCCGCTTGTCAAGCAAGATCAGCATGCACGCCGGGCGCATAGCGAACTCGTTCGCCATGCACTCGCTGAGGATGGCAGGGTGCTTGGGCATCTCGTGGCACTCGAGCATGCCGAGGAGCACGACCAACGCATGCTTGCCAGTCAACTGTGCCGTCTCCTTCTCGAGCGCCAGGTCAAACGTCGCGTCTGTGGAGGAACGCCCGCCGATGCGGCCCCGGAGCTCCTCGCTGGCATTGCGCAGTTCCCAGTCCGCCGAAATCGGTCGACGCGCCCGACCCCAGACTCGCATAAGAGTGTTGAGGAGCGCGATGAGGCGTTCCCCTCCCCCAGGTTCGGGGAGACGTACCATTTTGGAGATGGTCCGCTCCTGAGGCCAAATAAGCAACTCCTCACGGCGGCAGAAAACCATCGCCATCGCACTCAATGCAGCGTCGGATATCTGGTCGAGCACCCGCGGCGCGATCTTGACCAGTCCTGTCCCCGTCGCCCAACTGAGGGCTCGCGTCGCCGTGCGGATGTCATTGCCAGTAAGGGGCGGGGGCGGACCCCAATCGGCAGCGACAGGCGGAAGTTCGACGGGTTGGACCCCATGATGTTGCCAGAAACCGCTCCAAAACTCAACCTTCCTGTCGGCGAGCTGGCAAGCATGCTGAACTCCCTCGCCGAAGTCGATGACCTGGAGAGCCTGCGGCTTAGAAAACTTGTGAGCGCGACTGGCTCTACCTTCGAAGGCTGCCTCGGCCCGCGACTTCCAGCCCTGGGCAACTTTCTGATCGTGAGAGCGCTGCGTCGCCTCGGCCCTCGCAGGGATCTTGTCGATCTGCTGCTCGAAATCGTCTTGCTGGAAGGAGCCGGTGCTGCGCCCGAAGAAAACCTTGGCCTGCCCATCCAAGTGATTCCAGAAATCAGCCCGAGCTTCCGCGCGACGTAGGAAATTCTCGAACTCCACGATGTGCTTCGCAGTCTTGGCGCAAGGCTGGTCGGGGAACGTCTCGCGGGGGGAGGTCGGGGGCCAGCTACTTGTCGCGCCAGGCGCGACGAACGCAGGCGCTGGGCGAGGCCCTGCGCTCTCAACACCTTCTCCCTCAGCAGCTGGGAGCCTGACCTCCTCCCATATTTGCGGCTGGCGATCGCCAAGTACAAGGTCGACTTGTGGTGCGCTGCGCCGCCCCTCCAGCGATTCGCCGCCACCTCCCGCTGGGCAGGACTCACTCCCTTGCGGGTGTAGCCGTGCTGGGGCAGCCGGCGTCCCCACCTTCACTGGGGCTGCGAGTGCGCCGCCCGATGACGAAGAGGCCGATCCACTGCGCGCGCCTGAAGACCAGCCAGCCGCCCTCTGTGAACTGCTGGAGGGGCCAGCTTCGGGAAACATGCCGTCACTCTGCGGGGGGCTTTCACGCACCTCCCCCTCGCGATTGCTGACAAACGGGAGCACGAACGCGGGGCTGGCTAACTTGAGCACAAACGCTTACAGGACAGTGCGTACTCTGCGAAAGTGGCGGGCCCACCGCGCAGCCGTGGCCCAAGCCGCCACGTAAGGTTCCTTACGCTTCCAGGAACTGGACTCCGCTGGATTGCACTTCTTCCGCTCGAGCGCCGGGCGGCCTGCCTTGCTGGTAAACTTGCCAGCCGAGAAGCAACTGGTCCCATGCATGTGCCACATCCAGCGCCGCGGTGGCCTTCTGAGCCCGAGGAGTGGCTCCCAGTCGGGAGGCGGCCGCGCGCACCCGGCCTTGGAAGGTTTGCTGAACCCTTTCGGCTGCGCCAGCTCCCTGATCCACATGTCCTGGGGCTTCGCCTGCATCGTGATGGTCGCGGTCAGGCGTGGCCACGCATCGGCCTCGCCGACTGCTGCGGGGCTGAGTCGTGGGACCAGCGGGCAGGAGGCGAATAAATAGTCCATCGTGCTGCCAGGAAGCGATTGCAAGCATGTGGGGGTCGACGGAACAATGGCCACGCCGTTGACAGAGTGCAACCAAGCCAACGACCCCAGCTGCGAGACCTCCATGTTGAAATCGCCGCCCACGATCCACGGCATCTGCATCGCCTCTAGCACCTTGAGGTACTTGTAGAGCTTGAAAAGCATGGTCAGGTTCTCGGGCGACAGCTGCTCGTCGACGCGCAGGTACATCGAGACCATGACGAAGCCCTTTCGGTCGCCGCAGCTGACACGCGCGGCTGCCATCCTGCCGGGCTCAATCGTGGGCCCGTCCAGGCCTGGCGGGGCGGTGACCAGCGCTCGCTTGGGCGCCAAGATGGCCACCCCTGCCTGGGTCCCAGTGCCCGTCCCTGGCAGAGCGGGCTCCCAGATTACATGGAAGCCCTCGGCCAAGGCGTCTTGCTGTGCCTTGGCAAGGCCGCCGCCCTCGACGCGGGCGTGGCGTTCCTGCACAGCGTCGCACATGCTGCGGCAGGTCTTCAGGCAGTCGATGAGAGGGCCGCCTGAAGAAACATTCGAAGTAGTGATAGCAATCGAACTCGTCATTGATCCAAAGAATATCAGTAGAAACATTAGCATCCGCAGGAAAGACGAGCCGCCGCTACTGTGGCGGGGCGGCTCCTGGCGGGACCGCCGGCGGCGCGGAGGGCGCCAACTTGGGCCGCTTGACCCTGGCCGCGTGTGCCGCGAGGATTTCAACTTCAACTATCTTACGCCTCGAGCAGACTCTGCTCGTCCTTGGCCTCCACCTCCATTTCTTCGTCTGGAGCCTGCGCCTCGGCTTGCTCACGACGTGCTCGCTTTGCGGCTTCACGTTCAGCTTGTTGCTTGGCACGTGCCTCAGCTTCCAGCTTGCGCAAGTGCTCGACGTCTGTCTTGAGCCGCTCCGCCAGCTCGTGGTTTGCCCCGAGCGCCGCGGGCACTTCGCCCAGGCCTCCCAGCGTGACAGAGAGGCCCTTGATCGGCTCGTCGGCGGCAAGGCTGCCCAGTGGAGCCCTGAGGTGGAACTGGTGCTTCACGGTGGAGCTCGCGCTGCAGCTCCTGTAACTCCTCCATCTGCTTGTCGAACTCCGCCAAATGCTTAGTGGCAGCGTCCTCTTGCTTTTAAAGCTGTGCCTTCCGCTCGCGGACGTTGCCACGCTTCCACTCTTGGTCTTGGCGTAGCTTCTCTTGTCGCGTGATCTGCGCTCCCAGGTCGCGGAGCCGCTGCCCGAACGGCCTGGCAGCAGCCAGCTTGTTCTTGATCTCCAACTGCTCTTTGAGGTAGGCTTCCTTAGCTGCGACCATGTGCGGATCAGAGCTGGAGCCTGCTGTCTTGATGAGGTCCGCGAGGTTGCGCAACCTTTGCTTGGACTTCTCGTCGCCTGTGATGGCTGGCTCCTCAGGCTGAGGGGCCGCCTGGCCAGTGGCCTGCTGGAGCTTGGCGCTGGCCGCGGCCAACTCCGCCTTGAGCTTCTGCACCTCGACCGAGCTCGCCCATGCTGCTAACGTGCGGCCTGGCGCGCGTTCAGAGGAAGACGGAGCCGAGGGTAGGCGGTACCCCTTGAAGCAGAGGCCTTTTCTCCAGCTTGTACTTGGAGCACGCCATCGCGTCGGGGGCGTTGAACCACGGCGAGCCACGGGCCCCGACGCAACTCTTGCAGAACCACTGATGTTTACGCTGTTCCACTCGGTGGTGAGGCGGCGCCATCCCCTCGACGGCTGTCCTCGAGAAACCAAGGCAGAAATTATGATCGTCGTTTGCTTGATGACAAGGAAGTGGGAACGAACCCCAGTACCGCATCAGCAACAGAATGGTGGAGATTGGTGCGAGCAGTTGGGGCCGTTCCCCCCCAGTGCAACAATGACCTCAAACCCAAGCCTCCGCTACGGACTTGAGCCCAAATGGCTTGAACCAAAATGGCTACGGATGTGGTGGAGGAGGAGGAGGAGGAGGAGCAGGAGCAGGAGGGGGAGGAGGAGGCGGAGGAAATGGGGGATACGAGGAGAAGAAGGAGGAGGAAGAGGAGGAGGAGGAGGAGAAAGACAATACGAAGGAGGAGGAGGAGGAGGAGGAGGAGGAGAAGGAGGAAGAGCAGGAGCAGGAGGATGAGGAAGAGAAGGAGGAGGAGGAGGAAAAGGAGGAGGAGGAGCAGGAAAAGGAGGAGGGTAAGCCGGAGGAGGAGAAGGCGGGGGACGAGGAGGAGAAGGAGGAAAGGGAGGAGGAGGAGGAGCGCCCCCCGACACTCGGCGCGAGCGGGGGGCCCCCCTGCGGCCGAGCGCCCGGCCCTGCGAGGTGGGCAACGCCAGCCCTACGCGGCTCGTTGCGTTGGATCCGCAGGCCCGGTTCGTGGAGGAGCGCTGGGCTGCGGGGAGGAGGGAATTCTTCTCGTCCTCCCTTTCCCTCCTCGTCCTCCTCCCCCTCCTCCTGCTCCTCCTCCTCCTCCCCCTCCTCCTCCTCTTCCTCCTCCTCCTCCTCCTCCTCCTCCTTCTCCTCCTCTTCTTCCTCTTCCTCTCAATCATGGACAGGCACCGCCTCAAAGGGCTCGCGTGCGGCGCCCCACCAGGCTACGATCAGAGTGTGCCGAGAGCCGAGCTGTGCGCGATCGTGCAGGTCATCAGGAACCCGATCTTACCAGTTACGATACGGACAGACTGTCTTAACGTGGTGGAGACAATACAGAAAGGCCCAGCCTTTAGCTTAAATGTCCGGCGAGACCACTTGGATTTGTGGAAGCAGTTTGGGCACCATGTGCAGGAGCACGGAGGGCTCTCAGACGACCCACAGATCGAATGGGTGCCTGCACATCAGACAGATTCCAGTGTGCGTGAGTCGCGGAGTCAGTGGCACCAGAAGGTGGGCAACAACTGGGCAGACTTCGCTGCAAAGAGGGGCCTACACGTCCACGACATCTCCCTTGATGCGATTCAGCAGCAAGAAGACAAGCTATTTCAGCTGCGACAGGTGGCCTCGTGGATCGCCAACGTGCAGCACCCAGCGGACGGCCAGGCGGACCGAGTGGCCACAGTGGGGAGGAAGCCACGCAGATCGACCCGACCGCCTGAGCCACGCAGCGGCAGGAACACACGACATCCTGATTTTGCGCTTAGCGCTGTTCCGCACACCCCCATCCTATACAAGTTAGGCTGGAGGTGCGCGCACTGTCCTAGACAGGCCAGGTCCTGGGCGGGGAAGGAGCGGATGCGTGCCGAGCCGTGCAATGTGCAGCCGTGCCGAGCCGCCCCTACCCCTGTCCCGACCCCCTGCCGCGTGAGCTCAGGGCTTGGCCTTGGTCAAGCGGTCCCAGGACGGGTCCCATGACAGGTGCGCGGGAGCCTGCCTGGATCCCTGCCTGGACCCCGCTCCTCCTCCTTCGGCCGAGGAGCCCTTCCCCTCGTCGTCCGTTTCGCGGCTGGCCGAGCCTGCCGCCTCCAGGTGCGTTAGGGCCCGCCTGGGTCCCACCTTGGGCGCCCCGCACCCGAAGTGTGAGCATTCGTCGCCGGGGGGGGGGGGCTGGCGACAGGTGGTCACACGAACAGGGAACCCCTTCCTCCTTCGGCTGGTGAGCCCCCTTCTCTGCCTTCCTCCGCCTCGCGTCTCACCGAACCAGGTGAATTCGAGAGAATGGTGCAACCTCGGGTCACCTTTGCGAGGGTGCTGGAGCCGCCGCCTGGAACCACGGAGGTCCTGAGGGAGGCTGTGGCGGTTGGCTCGAAGGAGCGCCCGCGGGCTACTCCCCCTCTCGGCAGGTGCCACGCGGTCCCACTTGGGACTCCCCTGCCCCCGGCGGGAGAGGTCCCTCCGCAGAGTGCCCGAGGCCACCGACTGGATGTTGCACGGGACATTGTGGCTTTTCAGCAGATGTGGAGCGGTACTCCGCCCAGGGGGCCCGGTCACACTTGTATAATGTTTGCAACCCTGACCAGCGGGAGGGCGCCCCCCAGCAGAAGTGGCGCAGAGATAACTTTATGGCAGGAGTCCGCACGCGAGGCGCGAAGGGTAATCCCGCTACCCCCGTCCCCCGACCCCTCGAGGTGACGGACGATGCGGTGCAGTGGTTCGGCCTCATATCAATAGTTTACTTTCTGTGTTCATCACGTTTGGCGTTGAAGATGACGCCACCTCCAGGTCACCTGGCCCCGAGGACTGGTGTGCTGATTGCTTGGCGTCGGCGTGGCGTGCCTTCACTGAGAGACTGTGCTCCTACACTTTTCCAGATGCCCCTGTCTGCCCCTAGCCCGAACTCGGCGCGTCTCCCCATTGGTCGCTGCTCCTCCTCCTCCTCCTCCTCCTCCTCCTCCTCCTCCTCCTCCTCCTCCTCCTCCTCCTCGTATCCGCCCCAAGGGTGGGGGCCTGGCACCAGTTCTCATGGTGTCAGCGCCATACACTCCTCGGGGCACACCGCCAGAGTCGACTGCATGCGGCGACTGGGGGCAGCTAAACCGGCTCGCGCCTTCTAGAACCAGCCGCGTGGCATTGTGCCCGTGGCAGCGGCGTTAGCCACGCTCCGTGACCTGGAGATGGGTACGAGGCACGGGGGATTGCGCATTTGGTTGAGAGGCGGGGCCATGTGGCCCGTAAGTCCCATGGTGGCCGTGTGCCCGCTCACCCTGGGAAACAAACCCAGTTGCGCATGCCAGCTGATTGGGCAGGGGTTGGTCATCGGGAAGTACCTCGCAGTGACGAGGTGAACCGATCGCCCCCCTTCGCACCACGCCCTCTCGGCTGGAAGCAAGTCGCTGGGCGACGAGGTGGCTGCCAAGCCCCTGCTCGTCGGTGCGCGCGCCTTCGGGCCCGCCTCCTCCCTTAAGAGGGAGGCTCGGGGTGCCTTGCCGTTGCGGTGGGCACCGTCCACTTCCTGGATCCATGACTCCATGACTCCTCCTCCTCCTTTTCGTATCCACCCTCTCTTCCTCCTCCCCCTCCTTCTTCTCCTCGTCGTATCCCCCTCTTTTCCTCTTCATCCTCCTCGTCCTCCTCCTCCTCCTCCTCCTTTTCCTCCCCCTCCTTCTCCTCCTCCACCTCGCCTTCCTGCAGCACAGCCACGCCCCGGGCGGCGCTCGACCGCTCAATCGTGGGCTGGGCGGAGGCAAGGACCTGGGCCCAGGTGCACTCGTGCTGCCCACCTTGCTAGGCTGGCTCGTTCTGTCTCTCTCTCTCTCTCTCTCTCTTTCACTATCTCTCTCTATCTATTTTTTATCTTTCTCTCTTTCTCTCTCTCTCTCACACTGTCTCTTTCTCTTTCTCTCGCTCTCTCTCTCTCTCTCTCTATCTCTCTCTCTCTATCTTTCTCCCTGTCTCTTTATTTATATGTCTCTCTCTCTTTCTTTCAGTTTCTTATGTATCCTCTTTTTTTTTTTTTTTCTCTCTCTCTCTCTCTCTCGCTATGCCCCTCGCTTTCGCTGTTCCTCCCTCTCTTTCGTTTTGTCGCTCTCGCTTTCGCTCCCTTTGCTGTTCGTCTCGATCTCTCTGTTTTGTTTAGTCTCGATCTCTCTTTTTCTCTCTCTCTCTCTCTCGTTATCTCTCTCTCTCTATCTCTCTCTCTCTTTCTCTCTCCCTCTATTAATTTCTTTTTTGTTTCGACACAGTGCCTGCACTTCGGGGTTCTCGCTTTACTTATCCTCTTGCACAGGGTGTCTAGAGCTCCGACCACTTTATTCCGCGTCGCACCCCCCCCCCCCCCTCCCCGCGTCCCCAGCGCCAGAGCGGGGCCCCCGCGCCGTGGCTCTCTGCCCCGAGCTCCCCCGCCCCAGCGCCCCAGCGGGAACCTCGCCCACCGCCCCCTCGTCCACGAACGTACTCCTCATCGCACATCCCCCCCCGCCCCGCGTCCCCAGCGCCAGAGTGGGACCCCCGCGCCGTGGCTCTCTGCCCCGAGCCTCCCCGCGTCCCCAGCGCCCCAGCGGGGGCCTCGCCCACCGCCCCCTCCGCCACGAACGCTTTATTCCGCGTCGCACACCCCCCCTCCCCCCGCGTCTCCAGCGCCAGAGTGGGACCCCCGCGCCATGGCTCTCTGCCCCGAGCCCCCCGCGTCGCCAGCGCCCCAGCGGGAGACCCGCCCATTGCCCCCTCCGCCACGAACGTTGTATTCCGCGTCGCGACGCACACCACCTCCCCCACCATCCTCCCCGCGTCCCCAGCGCCCCAGTGGGGGCTCCGCCCCGTGCCCCTTCCGCCCCGACAATTTTTTCCGCGTCGCGACGCACCCCCCCCCCCCCCCCAGCGCCCCAGTTGGACCCCCGCCCCGTGGCCGTCGGCCCCAAGCCCCGCCCAATGCCCCCTCCGCCCCGACCAATTTTATTCCGCGTCGCGACGCACACCACCTCCCCCCCTCCTCTCCGCGCCCCCAGCGCCCCAGTGGGACCTCCGCCCCGTGCCCCCTCCGCTCCGAGCACTTTATTCCGCGTCGCGACGCACACCACCTCCCCCCCTCCCCACCTGGGATTTGGGCCCCGTTGCTGGGCCCCGAGGGGCGATGTCCCCCCTCTTCCCCCCTCCTCCTCCACCTCCTCCTCCTCCCCCTTCCTTTTCGTGCAAGAGCCATGGCACACGTGCCACTTGTTCCAGGAACTGGATGGGAGCGCCCAGTGTTTACCCAGAATCCGCCCGTGGGCGCCTCGTGGATGCTGGGGGCGCCCCGCGCTGGGGGGTGAGGCCTGGCGCCGAGGTTTCGCCTGGTGCCCGCCCGTGGGCGCTGGCGGGCGCCCCGCGCTGGGGAGGGGTGGGGGGGGGGGGGGCGGAGGGCGGGCACGCCGAGGTTTCGCCTGGTGCCCGCCCGTGGGCGCCCCGCGCTGGGGGGGGGGTGCGCCGAGGCTGTGCCTGGCGCTTGCCCGTGGGCGCCCCGCGCTGGGGAGGTACGCCGAGGTTTCGCCGGCCGCTTGCCCGTGAGCGCCTCGTGGGCGCGCGTGGGCGCCCCAGGCTGGGGGGGGGGTCGGCCGAGCTTTCGCCCCGTGCCCGCGCGTGGCGCCACACAGCTGCAACGAATTGTTCACGCCGCGCAGCGCCCACCACACACAACACACATTGCATAGCCTACACATGCCAACTTAGATCGCGCATCGTCCACCACATTGCTCTCACAACATAGCGTACACGAAGTAGCTTGCATCGCAGGGTTCACGCAGCACAGGTCTCGACGAATAGACAGCACAGTGTAGATTCCACCACATAACTTACACAACATAGCTGACACCGCGTAACTCATGCCACGTAGTTCACTCCAGTTATATTATGCAGCGTTGCTTGCACCACATAGCCAACACCGCATACCTCGCACAGCATAGCTCGCAATACCTAGCTCACACCACGTAGCTCTGACAACACAGCTTGCATTGCATAGCTTACACCGCATTGTTCACACAACACAGCTCACAACACATAGCTCACACCACACAGCTCTCGCAGCATCGCTTACTCAGCATCACTCACATTCCATAGCTCACACCGCGTAACCTACACCGCATATCTTGCATCTCCGCGCTGCAATAACTTACTGTGTTGGGCCGGCGCTGGATAACTCATTTTCTCTATCTTTGTCTGTCTCTCTCTTCCGCTCTCTTTCCATGTACATATAAAATCTGTGTTCGTACGCATGCCGCAATGTGTGTATAAACTTGACTGGAAGTAGATGCTCGTATCTGTGCATGCATGTAAAGGGACACATCCATCCATGCTTGCCTCCCTCCACCCATCCATTCTACCCCTCGCTATCCTCATCCTCCTCGTCGCCACCCCTCGTCCTCAATAGATCTTCTGTGCAGGTAGCTCCTGCGCGTCTGTCCACCATACGTGGGGCGGGCCAGGCGTTTCGCGTGACAGTTCCTTCCCGAGTCTGGCTTCGGCCTTTGAAGTTCCCAACAGTTACACGGATTGAGAAGGACGTTTTCGAAATGTGGTTTTCGACGCCTTAGCGCCGCGCAAATTTGTTGCACAATGTTCCAACAACTGCACGGATGAAGGGGGCGTGCTCAAAGTGTGGTTCTCGCGTTGTTTCCGCGCGCATGTCTAAAACACGTGTTCCAACCATATGGAAGATGAGCCGTTTTCAAGATTTGGCCCTCGTCGCTTTGGTGACGCGAGCATTTGTTTAATATTCTCAGGCGATTACAAGGATGAGGAGGTTCGTTTGCAAGATGTGGCTCGCGCCACTGCGCCTCACAGGTGGTGGGAGGGTTTTGTTTCACAATGAGGCTTTCTCCTCAGCGCCGCGCACACTCGTTCTCAAAGCTTTCAACAGTTACACGGATGGAGGGGATCGTCTTCAAAATGTGGTTCTCGTTGTATCGCTGTCCACGCCCGTCTCAAAAGTTTCAACTCGGTGCGCGGATAGGGTGCTTTCTCCCCCAAACGTAGATTTCTTCTGATGGCGCTATTCTTCATGATCCGAAATCGACACCAATGCAACAGCTACACGTTTTCAAAGCAGTGTTCTTTGCGGAGGTGTCCTTCGGTATAACGACCAAGCGCTTACAATTGCAGAAGCACTACGCGGTTTGAGGGCGGCTCTCTCTCAAAACGGGCTATCGTTGGGCACCCCTCGGGCTTCATGATCCTGCCTGGTCCTACCTCGCCGCCGTCCTTCTGGCCAGAAGCGTGGCTCGCAGCCCATTTCCTGAACAGGGCTCCCGCCTGAATGCAGGACTGGGACCATTGGGCGCTCGTCTTTCAAGGGGACACTACCAGCAGTGAAAGCAGATTCTTGTAGAGGCTTGTAATGAGGGTACCTGGGACGCGTGGGTGTCTTGCAACATCGTTGGTGCATCCTTCTTGCCCACCTCGACTTCGCCATCCTTATAATTTTCCTCAGCCTCCTCGTCCTCGTCTTCGTGGCGACGAGGATTGTGATGCGATTCAGGATGAGGAGGTGGAGGAGAAAATGGAAGAGGAGGAGGAGGAGGAGGAGGACGTTGACGAGGAGGAGGAGGAGGAGGAGGAGGAGGAGGAGGAGGAAGAGGAGGAGGAAGAGGAGGGAGCGGGGCAGGGGATGGCAAGAGGAAGAGGAGGAGGTGGAGGAGGGGGAGGGCAGACGGGTGCAGGCGGGGGACGGGGCAGGCAGAGCGGAGGAGGGATAGCGACGTGGGCGCGGGAAGCAGGTGGGGGGGAGGCAGGAGCTTGCGAGGGGGGAAGGGGGGAGGGGGATTCAGGCGATCGCATACATGGATCAAGGGGGCGTGGATTAGCGACGGGTCTCGTTTCCATGGGGAATCGCGGATTTCCGCCGCCGAGCGAGGAGGCACCGGCCGCATTCTGGGGAGGGCACCTCCCCCGATTCGATCCATGCATTTGGCGACCGCGCGCTAAATCCGTGGATCGCTGATCCATGTTTGCGCGCCCCCGAGGGGATGACGGGAGGGCTTGCCGCTCCCGCGGCCAGCCTACGGTCCAAAGCAGCGGGGCGCCGCTGGGCAGCAGAGGGGCCGCGCCGCGGTGGACCCTGCGGGAGGGAGGCCCGGGGGCACTGGCCGCTGGACACCGCCGGCGAAGTGACGCCCCGTGTGCGGCATGTGCTTCCGGGCGTCTCACCGCTCCCACCCCCCGTCCTGCTCTGGGGCTCCAGGTCTCCCAGATGGGGTCGGGTCTAGATGCGTCGATGAGGTCGAAGAATCGCTCCGCGTCGCCGATGCATCGCCGATGCGGCTCGATGTGGACCCCATTTTGCTTCACGTCCACGTCGCCGATGCATCGCCGACGTCGGCGATGCATTGCCGATACATCCCTGATGCGTCGCCGAGGCATCGGCGAGGCGGCGCGCTCCTTCGACCCCACCCGCTCTGGCCCCATCTACAGGAGGCCCCTCGCGGCCGCCCTGGGCTCTGTCCCCTCCCGCACGCTCGGCGCGCAGTCGGCTTCGGAGCGTCCCTCCCCCCGCCCGCGGAGCGTGTCAGCTGGCCGCTGGCAGCACAGCGAGGCGGGCGGAGCCCTCGCCGTCTCGGCTCCGAGGGGTCTGCGGCCTCGCCGCCCGGGGCTCCCCCGGCGGGGGCGCCCGCGCGGACGAGCGCTCGGATTGCACAGCGGAGAGCAGGGACCGCGAGCAGGAGGGAGGGGGACGAGGAGGGGGGGAGGGGGGGGAGGCCTCCGTGCCGCCCAGAGGTCCCAGGAGGCCTCCGGAGGTCCCAGAGGTGATGTCGGCACGTTTGCCCACCGAGCCTGCTGCTCTGACTTGTGTTCACGGCCATGGCACTGTCTGCCACTGTCCGTGTGTGTTGCTATGCTTCTGGTTGTTGCGGCCCGGCGCACTGCCGGAGCAAGCGGGCCTCCATTTTTGCTTCCATGGGCTAATTCGCCTCGCCTCCAGAGGCCGAGGGGAGGCCAGGAGCGCCCGAGAACTTCCCGAGGGCGTGTGCGACCTTCCCTTGGTCCTTGGGGGCAAAACTCAGCACACACGCAGTATCGAGAACAGAAGAACCCCTAACCCTAATAGCACGATGACGACGTGGCCTCACTTAGGCCCCCGTCTTCGCACTGGGAATGATAATTCTGGGCGGTTTGGTCTGATACGTCTGCAGAAGCGACCCCCTATCCCTAATTTTTTTGGCCCTCCTAACTTAGGTCCCCTCCCAAAGGGTCAGGGGTCCTCTTTGGGTTGATCAATGCGCACACACGCAAGACCTGTCCCCGAGTCCATCTCGGGGCCCACCCAGGAGCGACATCCGTGGCGCCCCCTGGGGAGCCGGAGGCCGAAGTCGGTTTTGTTGATATCTGGCGGGCGGCAGTGGAAGTGCAATAAACGTGGGGGAGCATGAGGATCGAGGGGGGCTGGAGGGCGGACGGAGGGAGGGAGGGAGGGAGGATCGAGGGGGGATGGAGGCCGGACGGGCGGAGGGAGGATCGAGGGGGGATGGAGGGAGGGAGGGCGGGAGGGAGGATCGAGCATCGAGAACTGGGGGACCGAGGATTGCAGGCAAGTGCCCCCTCAAGGGGCCCCTCAGCGGCCCCCAAACTGCCACCGCAGGCCCAAAACGCACGCGGAGAGTGCGCGCTCCTTCACCCCACGCTTTTGTGGCCCGCCCGCTTGTGGCGCGAGCACCTGGGACAATCGAGGATCGAGTGAGCTCAGCAGCGGGCGGGAGAGAGGAAGACAGGAGAGGAAGGAAGAGCCCCGCATGGCCCTGGCCAGGGCTCACATGACGGCGGCGCGGGCGACCTCAGCCCGGCCCACAAGTCGAAAGCAAGGCTGAGGGGGGGTCGGAGGGGCGCCGCGGGGCAGAGGACACGCCGGCGGGGGGAGTCCTCCTTTCCCCCTCCTCCTCCTCCTCTGCCCCCTCCTCGCACGTCGGCGGACTCATTGGTTTTCCTCGCCTCGATGCGACGCCGAGCTGCCGTCAGCACGCGCCGCGCGCGGCGGCTTCGTTGGGCCAGGGAGCAGCCGGGCGCGTACTACCGAGAGACCGAGAGCCCTCCTGCCACCGCCGGCGATTGGGAGGCCAGCGCAAACAGAGTTCCAAGAGAGTCATCCTCCCCCTCCTCCGTCGCCTCCGCCCTCTCCTGTTCCTCCTCCTCCTCCTCCTGTTCCTCCTCCTCCTCCTCGGAACCTCCTCCTCCTCCGACGACGACGACGACGGCGACGCTCTTACATGGGGAGGGGGGAGGGGGTGGTGGATGGGACAATCTTGTGGCGTGGCTGTGCCATGCTCCGCACCAGCGCGCCACATACCGCAGCGTCCTGTATTGTGAAGTTTGTGGGTGCCACTATGATGACAAGCCCATGGCACTGAAGGCTGAGTGCCAGCCTCCCATTCGTGCAGGCAAAGATCTGCTCAGCAGATCGAGAAGAGGATTGCCGCCTCATTCTGGTGGTAGGTGCCCTGGTTTGTGATTGTCTGAAGCGTGCCCCGCTCAGCAGAAGGCAACCACGCGTACGTAGCACCCCGCAATTGCGGATAAGAGTGAGGGGGCGGGCGCGGGCGACGCGGGCGTCGAGCCAGCGGACCTCGTGGCCCTCACCTTCCCTTTCGATGGCGCCCTCCTCCTCCTCCTCCTCCTCCTCCTCCTCCTCCTCCTCGTTACTCCTGCTACTCCTCCTCCTCCTACCCCTCCTCCTCTGCCTCGTCCGCGTCCTCGTCCTCATCATCGTCGTCGTCGTCCGCCCCCTCCTCCTCCTCCTCCTCCTCCTCCTCCTCCTCTTCCCTCTTTTCCTCCTTTTCCTCCTCCTCCTCCTCTTCCTCCCCCATCCCGATCCTCCCCCTCCTGGAAGGAATTCAAAAACGACCCGCCGCAGGCGCCGAAAATTTTGATTTGTACACTGAACGCGACTTGGGTCGCAGGTTCTCCACCTCGAACAACTGCAAAAGAAACCCGCCGCATGCGCGGTTTGGGTCGCGGGTGGGTCGCAGGTTCTCCATCCCCACCTGGAAGGAATTCAAGAACAGCCCGCTGCAGGCGCCGAACATTTTGATTTGTACACTGAACGCGGTTTGGGTCGCGGGTGTGTCGCAAGTTCTCCACCTGGAACGAATGCAAAAGAAACCCGCCGCAGGCGCCGAAAATTTTGGGTGGGTCGCGGGGTGGGTCGCGGGTGGGTCGCGGGTGGGTCGCGGTGGGTCGCGGGTGTGTCGCGGTGTGGGTCGCGGGTGGGTCGCGGGGTGGGTCGCCGGTGGGTCGCGGGTGGTTCGGGGAGGGGGTCTCGGGGTGGGTCGCGGGCGGGACGCGGGGTGGGTCGCGGGTGGGTCGCGGGTGGGTCGCGGGTGGGTCGCGGGTGGGTCGCGGGTGGGTCGCGGGGTGGGTCGCGGGTGGGTCGCGGGTGGGTCGCGGGGTGGGTCGCGGGTGGGTCGCTGGGCGGCTCGCGGGTGGGACGACGACAACAACAAACAACAAACAACACACAACAAACAACACACAACAAACAACACACAGCAAACAACAAACAACAAACAACAGCAACAACAACACCAACAACAAAAGCAGCAGCAACAACAGCAACAACAATAACAATAACAATAACAACAACAAGAATCCGCATCGCGGAACTCCACTTCAGCCACGCACCCAGGAACAGTGAATGACCGTTCGGTTCAGCCCCCTCATTCTGATAATAGAACAGATCCCCCCTCCTCCGCTCGCCTCCTCCTCCTCCTCCTCATCCTCCGCTCGCCTCCTCCTCCGCCCTCCGCTCGCCTCCTCCTCCTCCTCCTCCTCCTCCTCCTCCTCCTCCTCATCCTCATCCTCATCCTCATCGTCATCATCATCATCATCATCATCATCTCATCATCATCATATCATCATCATCATCCATCATCATCATCATCATCATCATCATCATCATCATCCTTTTCCTCCTCCTCCTCCTCCTCCTCCTCCTCCGCTCGGGTCCTCCTTTTCCTCCTCCTTTCCCTCCTCCTCCTGTTCCTCCTCTTCCTCCTCATCCTCTCTCTCCTCCTCCTTCCTCTTCCTTCTCCTCCGCTCGCCTCCTCCTCCTCCTCCTCCTCCTCCTCCTACGCTCGCCTTCACCCTTTCTTCTGATAGATGTCGCACCCCGAGGCCGGTCGAAAGGGTGGGCCAGGCGTTTCGCTCAAACCTTCCTCACCATGTATGACACGGCCACAACTTCCCAGATGGAGGGCGCGTCGCTTTCAACATGGAAGAGGAAGAGAGGAGGAGAGGAGGGACGGAGGATATGAGGAGGGGAGGACAGGAGGAGAGACGGAGGGGCACGGGGGAGGAGGCGGGCGGAGAAGGAGGGGCAGGGGGTGGAGGAGGGCGGAGGAGGTTGAGGAGGGGAGAGGGAGGAGGAGAAGGAGGACGAGGAGAGGCGGAGGGGGAGGAGGAGGAGAGCGGAGGAGGAGGAGAAGGAGGAGGGGAGGGGGAGGGTGGGGGAAGGGGGTGGGGATAGGGGGAGGGGACAGGGAATGGTATGGTGGGGCGTCGGAGAGTGATATGGGAGGAGGCGGAGGGGGGGGGGGGGGGGTTATGCGGTTAGTTGGGGGGTAGGGGGAGGAGGATCAACCCTCGGCGGCGCAGGTGGCGGCGACAGAACTCGGACATACTCGCCCAGCGTCGCGCCTCGAGGTCGCCCGCCGCCAGCCCTCTGCTCCCACACACTCCACGAGGTGGTGGAGGAGGACCTCGTCCTCCTCCTCGTCCTCCTCCTCCTAAGAGAGTCATTCCGACGACGACTCGTCGTGTCATCGTCGCTTCGTCGTGTCGTCGTCGCTTCGTCGTGTTCGTTTGCGTCGCTGCGCTCGTTCGTCGTCGTTGTGTCGTCTCGCCGGTGTCGTTCGTGTTCGTTGTCGTCGTCGTCATCGGTGCTGCTGCCTGTCCCCTTCTGCCTGGACCTCGCGCCCCTCCGCGGGCGCGTGCGAGGCCAACCTAGGATCCTAGAGTTTGAGAATCAAAGAATCGTCCCACAGTGCTGAGGTGCTTAGTTCCCTGGTAGGGCAATGGCCTCTCGACCCATTACATTCCCAGTGGAGTCCCTAATGCTGGGTGTGTGCCCGGGGGGAGGGCTATAGTAGCTCTTAGTGCGCACAGCAGTCGCCAGTTGCTTCGAGGAGCTTTTCAGAGGCCAGGAGATGTTCCGCCGCCACCTCCTCCTCCTCCTCAGAGAAGCGTTGCCTGGTTAAATATTGTGAGCAGGCTGGTTTCTTGCCACACGGGCGTGACATGCCATGTGTGAGAGACCCCCGCGGGAAAACACGTATGCGCTGCGCTGTTGGGTTGGGGCGTGTAGTTGTGTTACGGTGTGATCCGTTATGCGATGCTGCTCAATGCGATACTAAAGAATTACATGCGATGCGACGCGATGCCAATATATACTACACCATGGTATGCCAGGCAATACCATAGAGCCCAACGTTATGTCATGCTGATGCGCCATGGTATACTGGGCATGTGTGTGCTGTGTTATGCGTTACGCTGCATGATACCTCATTGCATTGCATTGCCAATGTATGCGGTCAGCAAAAATAGCACCCATAAATTCGGTCGCAGTGCTTTCATATTGGATGGGGTAGCACAGACGAGATTCTCTCATCGCGCTCGTCTGTACACGCGTAGTCATCTTGGCTCAATGCACTGCGAGGAGTAGTCCAGGCTCGGGTGCTCTCGTATACGAGTTGTCTTGTGGTGGCTTCCATGTTCTCCTACTGGCATCAATTCGGCCATTATACCGGTTGTCGCCTCTGCCACCGACTCCTCAGGAAATGCAGGATTGAAGGGTGGTCCAGGAGGGAGTCCACGGGGTTGGCGAGGATTTGTGGTCAAGTTTGCCAAACCATGGTTTGCCAATAAAGAATGCCAGCGTGTGCCCAGGCATGGAAAGCGTGAATAGAAATGGCGTGGGTACTTTGGGGCGTGTGCTTCAAAGGTCGCCCTGGGGGATTGGGAGCGCGGGAAGATTTCCAAGGGCCAGGGCCTTGTGGTCACATGAATGATGGCGACGACGATTGGGGTGATGATGGCGACGATGTGAATGGTGGGGATGATGATGACGATACTGATCATAGTTGGTTGCACGTCTCATCGTAAGTCATGATAGTTGTTCTCTAAGGCATACTTTGCGTGTGTATGAAAAGGCTCCACGCGCCAGCCAATGCTTGAACCATTGACAGAAGATCATCGCAGCTCAGTAAGATCTTCAGAAAAAAAGCTGCGGTCACCCGCCCATCCTCCAGCACAGGACCAGTGCGTTCCAGGCCGGCGCCTCCCAGATGTAGCCTCGCCGAGGGCACCTCTCACGGGGTCTGATGAATGATTTCTGCGCCGTTGCAGCTTTTGTACCCCACTGGACGCCTCCTATCAGTCCAGTGTGTTGGCGAGTGTCCCCACCCTCCCTGGCCCCAGTGGACCAGTCCTCGAAGGTATGCGCCCTCTGCGATGCACAGCTCATCCTCGAAATTCGCAAGCTCGGGACAACCACCCCTCGCACCACTCAGAGCACGAAGTCATGCGTTTCACCTGCCGCCTCCAGTCCGTCCTGGGTACCCGATGATCAAAACTTTATCAAAACTTTATCAGCGTTGATTGCCTCATTCAGCTGCCTGGTGAGCCTCAACCTCCAAGCTGGAGGGCCCCAGCGGGATCGGAACCATGACAGTCTAGACCTTCATCCAGGGGGAACGACTTTTCCTCCATCCGCCCGAGCTCGTAGATCTGTGTCATCGGAGGGGACACAGCGAGTTCCCTGTCGCGGGCAGATCCGCGCTTTCGCGATCTGGTTATCTTCGCTGCCTCGTCGACCGCAGGTCAGCTCCGCTGCTCGTCCCCTCGCGTTTCGCCCAGGCCCGCGCCCGACATCCCGCCGGTGGCATCGCACTCCTGCACCGCTGGTCGCCACTGCTACACCCGCTCTCAGAAATTGCGCCTCGAAGGGCTGTCAACCTATACGCGCGCCTGGCGAAAGGCCTCTCAGCGCCTGGCCGCCCGCAGGGTCGCGAAGGTAACAGGCGCTTCGCGCGCCACCACTCGGGCCAGAGAGTGGCCCTCTTCCAAGGAGGTGCTGCGCGCGGGCGCGACAACACCCGCGCCCTCGCGCTTCGCGCGAGGTGCGGCGCGCAGAGGCAGGCGGCCCAGAACGAGGCGGCGCAGCCGTGCTGCCGCGCGGCGGCCGCGTGGCCCGCGCCGCGCGGGGGGCGGATGCCGGGCGCCGCCGCGGCCCGTCCTGTCGCGCTCTATCTTCCTCTCGTCGTTGTGCCGCTGCTTCTCGCCGACATGGGGCTCCGCATCGTTGGCAAGAGATCAAGAGGCGAAAGCCCACCCCCACCCCCAGTCCTGACTCCCACCCCCGAGCCGGCGATTCTCAAGGGGTCGGGACTGGGGGCGGGGTCGTTTTCTCAACGCCTGGACACCGAAGCACCACCCCCACCCCCAGTCCCGACCCCCTGGGTCACGGGTTCGGAGGTGGGGTCGGGACTGGGGGCGGAGGTGGGTTTTCGCCTTTCCAAGAGAAGTTGCTTTCGCGGCAGGGTGCCGCTCCCACCCAGGTGGGAGGCGCACAGCTTCCACGCGTCATCCATTTGCGGAAGCAGACGACATATCACCGCGAGCACTGCCTCGCGGTCTCCGGGAGCCAGCGCGTCCGCGCGGAGGCCACTGGCTCCTGCGGCAACGGCTCGAGAACGAGGAAGTCCACAGCGCCTGTGCCGTGGAATGCGGCCACGATGGTGGATTGCATGTCCCCCTAGTTGTTGGGGAAACCTCTTGGCGGATAAGTGGGGAGGGCCCTTTGCGGCCGTCTTGGGGCTGCCTTCGGGCACTCTTCCGGCCGCCTGGGCCTTTCCGGGGGCCTCCCCAGCACTCTACGTCTTAGAACGTTATTGGGCCGTCTGGCGCCTTCGGAGGACGTTCTGGAAACCTCTGGGTTGTCTTGGGGCGCTCTTGGCGCCGTTTTGGACCGTCTCGGGGCTATATCGGGCCGTCTTGGGGTGCTCGTGGGCCGTCTTGGGGTACTCTTTGGGCCCATGTGGGACGTCTTGGGCTAGTCTTGGGGCCCGCTTGGACCGTCTAAGGCACCATTTTCAGTTCGAGAAGGCGAGAACGCCCCCCCCCCCAAAAAAAAAACATAACATTACATTGCGTTCGAGTTGCGTTGGCATCCTGGGCCGACCCCGAGGGCCCCAAAGACGGCCATTTGCCCTCAAGAAAGCTTCTTAAACGCTTTAGGGGACACCTTGGGTCCATCTTGGTCATCTGGGAGGCGTCTTGGAGGACATATAGGAGCGTCCTGGGCGTTTTCATCGGACCGAACGGGCGAGAGTCCCCTCCCCCCAAACAAAAACAGCTTGCTTTGTCAGTGGCTTTCTCATGGGCCGTCCCCGAGGGCCCCCAAGACATCCAAAGATCCTGGGGCCCCGAGAGAGCCTCTTCAACGCTTCGGGCAGGGCTGGACCTAGACGCTGTTTTTCTGGACTTCGGCTGTGTTTTGCTTTTCGTTTTGGCAGGGAGGTATGGGAAAACGGGTAGAGCAAAACGAACATTCCAACGGAAACGACACGAAACACAGCGTTTTGGTCCAGCCCTGGTGGGGGGCTCTTGGGGCGATCTGGGTCATCCGGGAGGCGTCTCGGAGGCCATCCTGGACTGCTTGGGGCTGTCTTGGGCAACCCTGGAAGCCATCCAGGCCGTCCCCGACCGGGGCCTCGCCTTCGGTGCGCCTCGCCCCCGGGCGGGGGCATGGCGGAAGGCAGGCGGCAGGGAGGCGGAAGCAGAGCCGGCGGGTCCACCAGCGGTCGGGCGGCGGAGGTTGGCGAAAGTTAAGCAGTGACTAAGCGTCCTGGCTCGCCTATAGTCCTACCAAACAATGTTCTAAGAACCTTTTGTGGTTTGCACGACATGTTCGTAGAACATTTCTGGCGGAGTCCGTCTTGTTTTCACACATCGGGTTCATGTTCTAAGAACATTGTTTTTGCTCTTAGAGCATGTCTTGGTTCTAAGAACATTCCGTGGTAGGACTATAGGAATGCCGGGACGGTCGGTCCCTGCTCAAGAAAGGAAGAGCCCGGGAAGGCAGGCGTCGGGTGGGGAGGACGGGGCCGGGAGACGCGAGAGCCTCAGTGCCCGCAGGCGGTCGAAGGCGTCGCGCGCGACATCCCAATGCGATTGCTCGTGCCCCTCGTCCTCCCGAGCCCTTCCCCTTTAACACGATGGGTGTTCTCCTCAGAAGCGAGTCGTCGGCAGTTTTGGGATTAGGGCCCCCGGAGTCGGCCAGTGTCGGGCCACGGTGGCCATCTGGGGGACGAGGGCTCTGGACTGCGCGCTCGAGTGCCCTCCTCCCCCGCCCGCCTTCCGCGGCCGCCCTGCGCCTCTCCCCTCTTGCAGCCCGACGCTTAGTTCGCCACGCTTCCCGGCCTACTTGAGCGCGCGTGCGGGTCGCTTCTGCCACGTTGCGACGGCAAAAAATCTTGCGCGTGCGCGGTTTATTTATTGGTGCGGGGAGGCAGCGGCCGCACGGGCCGATGGCCAGCGGGAGTCTTCTGTGAGGGTCGAGGGGTCTTTTGAAACCTATCGGATCGACGACGCCTGCGGCGAGTTGCCGCCGCCTGCTGCCTTTTGGGAAGCCCCTGCTTCAGCCC